ACAAAGCAACTAGTGAATTTGACCTGCCAACCTTTTGACTAAAAGTTGAGTGCTTTAACCACTTGTGATACAGTGAATTATGACTCTTCTACCAGAGTCTTGGAGTCCGTGTGGCACTGTGGTTTTTGACAGCAAGGTTGCAATTGACAGCAAGGTTGGTTTGAACCACAAGATCCAGCGTACAAACTCACCAGCCACACCTCAGAAACTCTATGCAGGGTTGTTATGAGTTGGAACTGACTAGTAGGTAAAAGCAACCAGAATCTTGTTTGGTAACATGGAGGGTCCAAAAAAAAGAGGAAGACCTTCAAGGAAATGGATTGGCACAGTGGCAGCAATGGGCTCAAGGGTAACCATGATTGTGAGGATGGTGCAGGTTGGTTCCAACTCATAGCCATCCTGTATACAGTTTCCAAGAGTGGCTGGTGGGTTTGAACCAATGACAAGTCCAGTGTTTATCTTACAGCACCACACCAGGACTTCTGCAGTGTGACTGAGAAGACAATTTCCCAACTGGATGGAGAACTGCTGTATGCTAAATTGTTTCTCATCCTGAACCGTGCCCTGTTAACTTGTCTAATAAACCTGTGAGTTTGTGAAGACTGTGTGGCCATTGCAATGGAGTGAGAGAAGCAAGAGCTCTGTGGAAGAGATGGGTGGTGTCAGAATAGGGTAAACAAGGTTGAAGACTGGAGCATGTCTGACTTCTGCCTCATAGGAATCAGCCTTGAGCTGATTTTGAGTCTGATTCTCTTTACCACCTTGTGAAGTCAGAGGAAGTCAGACATACCCCCCACCCCCACCCCATTCTTGCACCACTGTACCACTGGTTGGTTGGTTGGTTGGTTAGGTGCCGTGGAGTAGATTCCGACTCATAGTGACCCTATACAGGGTTTCCAAAGTTGTAAATCTTTACAGGAGCAGAAAGCCTCATCTTTTTCCCGTGGAACAGTTTGTAATTTTGAATTCCTGACCTTGCGGTTCGCAGCCTGATTGGTAAACACTATGCTAGAATTCCTTAATTAGAACAGTGAAAAAGCACTCTTATATAATGCTAATGAAAGTGTAAACTTCCTACAAACCTATTTGCTAACATGCATCAAGAGCTTTCAAAGTGTTTATACCATAGTAAATACATTTGTAGGAATGTATATCATGAAAATAATGAAAATTCAAACAACTATTTATGCAGAGAAATATTTCAATATTTGAAATATAAATGAGCAAATCATAGAACATGTACCATGCTTAAAGTTTTTAATACATATGAAAGTTAATGATATACATATTTTAAAGCTTTTACTGTTGAACTGAGTGATAGTTTACAAGAAAGAACATTGGTTTTGCTCTCAACCAATAGTATTTCGTTTCATTGAATGATTACAATCCCCTCCATGCACCATCTTTTTGCCAAATCCAGAGTTCAAATATATCAGTTCTTTGGTTTTCCTTATTCATTGACCAGCTTTTGCATGCAAATGAGGTGATTGCAAATAACATGGCTTGGGTCAGGTGTGCCTTAGTCTTCAAAATGCCATCTTTGTTTGCTTGTTTTTAAAAACATTTTAAAGAGATCTTTTGCATCAGATTTGCCCAATTCAATATGGTGTTTTATTTTTTGACTGCTGCTTCCATGGACATTGATTGTGGAGCCAAGGAAAATGAAATCCTTGATAACTTCAGTCTTTTCTCCATTTATTGTGGTTTTGCTGATTGGTCCCATGGTGAGGATATTTGTTTTTTGTATGTTGAAACATAATCTAAACTGAAGGCTGGCATTAGTGTTTCACCTTCATCAGTAAGTCTTCTATGCTTTCAGTAAGCAAATTTTTGTCATTTTTTATCACAGGTTATTATTGAGTTTTTCTGCAATGCTGATGCTCCATTCTTCTTCATATAGTTCAACTTCTTAGATTATTGTTCAGTATCCATATTGAAAACGTATGAGGAAAGCACACAGCCCTGACACATACCTAAAACATACAGTAACATCTAGTTCTGTTTGAACCACTGCTTGTCTATGTACATGTTTTATATGAGCACAATTTAAGTGCTTTGAAATTTCCATACTTAAATTATTCCCACAATTTATTATGATTCACATAGTTGGTTGTCTTTGCATAGTCAATAAAACACAGCTAAACATCTTTTCAGACCCATCTGATATTAGCACGCCCCTTTTGATTTATGTGAATTCCCTGTGAAAGTACTGTGCAACAGTTTTTGAATTATCTTCAGCATAATTTTATTTACATGTTTTTTCATGATATTGCACAATAATTTTCATATTCTGTTAGAGTGGGCACAAATATGGATCTCTTCTAGTCGGTTGGCCAGGTAGCTGTCTTTCAAATTTTTTGACATTAGATGAAAGAGACCTTTCAGCATTGCAGTTTGTTGAAACATCCCAATTGGCATTCCATCAGTTCCTGGAGCCTTATTTTTCACCAGCGCCTTCAGTGAAGCTTGGACTTCTTTCTTCAATGCTATAAGTTCATGATCATGTGCTACATTCTGAAATGATTAAATATCTGCCAATTTCATTTTGGTACGATTCTGTATACTCCTTCCATCTCCTTTTGATGCTTCCTTTGTTTAGTTTTTTTGCCCATAAAATTTTTCAATATTGCAATTCTAGGCTTGAGTTTTTCTTCAGTTCTTTCCGTTGAGGAAATGCTAAGCAAGTCCTTCCCTTTTGGTTTCCTAACTCCAGGATGTTACACATTTAATTATAATAATTTACTTTATCTTCTCAAGTTGCCTTTTGGAATCTTCTGTCTTCATTTATTCCATTACATTTAGGTACTTTATGTTCAAGAGCAAGTTTCAGATTCTCTGTGACATCCATTTTGGTCTTTGTTTCTTGTCTTTGGAATAATCTTTTGCTTTCTTCCTATGTGATGTCATCCCACAACTTATCTGGTCTTTGGTCATTAGTGTACAGTGTGTCAAATCTATTCTTAAGATGGTTTCTAAGTTTACATGGCACATACTCAAGCTGTACTTTGGGTTTCATGCACTTGTTTTAATTGTCTCAAGTGTCAATGGACTTGAGTATGAGTATGTGAGTATGAGTATAAGCATATGAGTATGTGAAGGAGCTCTGGTAGCATAGTGGTTACGAATTGGGCTGCGAACCTTAAGGTCAGCGGTTCGAAACTACCAGCCGCTCCGCGGAAGAAAGATGAGGCTTTCTACTCCGTAAAGATTTACACCCTCGGAAACCCTGTACAGGGTCGCTATGGGTCGGAACCGACTCGATGGCACTTAACAACAACAACAATGTGAGTATGTGAGTATGAGTATAAGCATATGAGTATGTGATGGTCTGTTCTGTAGTTGCACAATAATTTGTGCCTGTTCTGACTGATGATATTGAGCTTCTCCATCATCTTTCCACAGATGTAGTCAATATGATTCCTAGGTATTCTGTCTGGAAAGTGTACATGTACGTCACTACGTTGTTGAAGAAAATGTATTTACAATGAATTGTTGGTCTTGCACAATTCTATCATGCAATCTGCAGCATTCTTTCTATCACTAAGGTCATATTTCAACTACTGAGCCTCCCTTCCTCTTTGTTTCTAACTTTTGCATTCCAATAACCAGCAATTATCAATGCATATTAATTTCATGTTTGATCAATTTCAGATTACAGAAATTGGCACAAATCTTCAATTTCTTTATCTTTGGCATTAGTAGTTTTTAAGTAAATTTGAGTAATAGTAATAGAGTCCTGATGTGGAGCTGTGGGTTAATGCGCCAGACTGCAAAGCCGTTTGAACTGCAAGGTTGGTGGTTCAAGATCACCAGCTGCTCCTTGGAAACCCTGAACAGGGTAGCTATGGGTTGAAATCAACTCGATAGCACTTAACAACAACAACAACAAATAGTAATTGGTCTTCCTTATATGAATCTAAATATTATCCTATAACTGATAACACTGTACTTCTGAATAGTTCTTGAAATGTTCTCTATGATGAGTGTTGTTCCTTTTAAATTGGTCATTCTGGCCATATTAGCCTATACAATTGTCACATTCAAAATACCTGATGCCAGTCCATTTTAGCTCACTAAAGATGTTTAGCTTTAAGTGTTCCATATCAGTTTTTAGAACTTCCACCTTCCTTTGGTTGATACTTCACTCATTCCACATTCTGCTTTTGCATCATGCCTTTTTAACAAATGAAAGTCTGCAAAGTTTTACCCACCCACATCATTAAGATTGACTCTACTTTGAGGAGTCCGTACTTCCTTAGTTGTATCTTGAGTGCCCTTCAACCTGAGAAGCTCATCTTCCAATGTTCTATCAGACACTGTTCTGCTGCTATCCAGGTGTTTCCCTGGCCAGTTGTTTTCAGAAGTAGATTTCCACATCCTCCATCCCAGACAGTCTTCGTTTGGAAGCTCACCTGAACCTGTCTACCGTGATTGACCTTTCTGATATTTGAAATACCAATGGCATTAGTTTCAGCATCATAGCAGAAAAAACATAAAAAACAAATCTTGGAAAGATAACCACTGCCACAATTGAGCCAGTATTGCCAAAACATTACTAAAACTTCTTATTGAAATGGATATAGTAATAGAGCTTTAGATATTTAGATTAAAATAAGAACCTTACCACAATGTCTGGCATAATGTTAAACAATTGTTTTGCTGTCACAAAATAGATATACAATAATAAATGTTTTTTTGGTATAAATGAACAGGTGAAATTTTGAGCCATTTCCCTCTGTGTCAACTAAATTATAATCAATTAAACTTAAGGATAAGTACCAACAGGTGTTCTAAGAGAGAAAGATGAGGTATTCTGCTCCTGCAAAGATTTACAGCCTCAGAAACCCTATACAGGATTGATTTGAGTTGGAACAGACTCAATAACACTTAACAATAACAAACTTAAATAATAGCTACATGTTTCTGTGGTAGAGAATGATGTTGGTGGTTGATAATCTTAGTCAAGCAATGATGCCAACATATAAGAAGTAGAGAATTACCTCAATGTTTTGGTTGAGTTTTTTGACTATGCTGGTGATGGTTTGGATGTGACTTTCCAGTAGTTTCCTGGCAAGTGATTCCTCTTTTCGAAAGCCGTGTGTCCCCTGAAGACAGGCAGAGATATCCTCCTTGATACGAAAGGCTTGTTCTAGGAGGAAAGCTACTGTGCGCTCCTGGTTGTTAAGTCTGTCTTCTAGCTGATATCTCTGGATGTTTGAAATGACGGGAAGAAAAGAATGACCCCTGGTCAGGAAAAGGAGACAACAGCAAGGATATTACAAAAATAAGCTGGTGGAACCAGGAACCAGAACTCATAATGTCATCTCTATTCTTTCTTCTTGGTGGAAAATTCAGTAAGATTTAAAGCACTTGTTGGTGTTAACTGCCATCTAGTCACTTCTGACTCATAGTGACGCTATGTAAGGTTTCCAAGGAGCAGCTGGTGGGTTTGAACTACTGATCTTGTGGTTAGCAGTCCAGTGTTTGTCCTACAGGTGCCACACCAGGACTATTTTTAAGCACTTTCAGAATTAGAATCTTGGTTTAAATTTCAGCCAAAAAGCAGATTAATTTATGCTTTGATCTTTTTTTTTTTTAAAAATTTATTGTGAGGTTTACATGGGAGAACATCAGCTCTCTACACTCATCCTATTGTATTTTGTTTCATTGCAATGATTACAATCCCCTCCATGCATCATCAAATAACCAAAGGGTACATCCCACAGGCCCGCCCCCCAGCCGCCAGCACACAGTCCTTCTCCCTCCCTGAGTCCAGTGTCCCTAGCCGCTCCATCTGTTCACGTCATCAGCTCTGTCTCCATCACTGGCATCACTGCCTCTCTGGGTAGGGTCGTGCTCTCTACTCTTCTCACTTGGTGGTCCCAGGGACCTCTGCTCCTGGGCTGCAAAATCAATCACTCTCCTCTTTTTGTCAAAAAACATCTACCTCTCTATTTCCTAGCCTCACAGTCAGTCCTGATGGCAATTATTCACTATTGTACCACAAGAGTCTTATCCCCATTTCCCTTTGCCAGCCCGGTCCCAATGGATTGGAAATCATTCAGTGGTGATTCTACCTTCCCCCGCCCTGTCTGGAACTAGGCTCCCTCTTGAAAGCTTGTAAGCCAGTCACTTCTTTCCTTTATAGGCCCCCCTATATTGGGGAGCCAATGTCTAAATTGCCCATCCCTGTCAACCCTGTGTACTGAGGGGGTAGGAGTGATCCTCATTGCAAAGATTTGTTCCCTGTTTTGAGTTACTACATCCATAGGTATAGGTAAAGTTCATCAAATTGTAGTGGGTTACTCTTTTTTTTCCCCCCCTCTTATTTCTTCTAGTTGAGTTCATCCAGTTATCGAATGAAGCCAGGTCATCGAAGCCAGGTCAAGTGGGTACTATCTGCAAGTATGAGTGTTCTTGTGCATCTCCCCTCACTTCATATCAACTGGACACTTCACTCTCCACTCTAGTCTACTGTGGCCATGTCTCTGCCTCTGGGTCCAGAAGTCCCCAGGTCTTGCCATATTGCTGGCCATCCAGGTCTCCACCCAGGTTCACGGGGGTCTATTGAATGTGGTTGGGCTTAGCTCGCAACTGCATTGCTGTTTTTTCCCCTTCTTTCCCTTATCAGTGACCAATGTGGTCACCGGCCAGACCACATGCCTACTCATGTATTCCCCTTGAGTCTCAGTCTTGGAAGGGGGTTTGCTGTGAGGAGTCCTGACCACTTGCCTCTATGGCTCCCAGGTGAACAACTTACTTGTTCTTGTAGTAATCAATCAGATTGTCATTATTGTTTCAGATTTTTCCTGCTGGTCTTTCTTTCTTGGAGTATCTTCTGTTCTAGCCACTCCAGGCTGGTCTACTCATCCTTTCTAGTGGAAATTTCCTACCTCAGTCAGTTCTGGATAGGGTTCTGGATTCCTCCTGTGGTCTTGTGTATATACTTTGATTTTATATCATGTATTTTTCATATTTCCCAAGTAGGAAATGCTCTATATATGATGATAAATTTTCAAGTCAAATTAGTGATGTAGAAAGAAGAGGATTCATGAAGTCTTTGTCCCAAAACATTAACCTAGAAACAATCTAAATACCTATATCTGTAAACATTTAAAAGTGGCTTTGTTAGAGAATAGACCAACCCAACAAGGTAAATGACTATAAAACAATTCTGTAGTCAAATATATTTGAAAATGTTTGCAAACAATACCCCTCTCTTGGCTGTTTATACGGTGTGTTAGCATATTAAGGAGTCCTGGTGGTACAGTGGGTTAAATGTTGGGCTGCTAACCCAAAAGTAGATGGTTCAAACCCACCAACTGCTCTACAGGAGAAATATGAGGCTGTTTGTTCCCTTGAGGATTTACAGTCTTGGAAATCCTTAGGACCAGTTCTTGGTCCTATAGGAATTCAATCTGCATAGGAATCAAATAATCAAGAGTGGAATTTTATCAGCATATTAATGTCCAACAGTATTTTTCTAATTTTATAAATGAGAAAAGTAGTTCATTGTTATTATTAAATAACTGGTTCTACGTTAGGTGCTGTGGGTTAATGCCCCGGAGTGTAAAGCTGTTTGAATTGCAAGGCTGGCAGTTCAAGCTCACCAGCTGCTCCTCAGAAACCATACAGGGTCACTATGGGTCAGAACCGACTCGACGACACTTAACAACAACAACAACAACAAGGTTACTCTAGGAGTCCTGGTGTGACACTGTGGGTCAATGTGCCAGACTGCAAAGCCAATTGAACTGCAAGGTTGGTAATTAAAGCTCACCAGCTGCTCCTCGGAAACCCTATACAGAGTCACAATGGGTTGGAACAGACTTGATGAAACTTAACAAAAACAACAGATTACTCTAAGCACATGGGATAACACTTTTGGTTATATTATCCTCAAACATATGTAATTTCTGATGGCTTATATGCACTGATTCCATACCAGATCACATTTTGTGTATGTGAGCATGACAATATTCTATGTATTAGTATAATAGAGTTTATTATAAATTTGTCTGAAAAATTATTAAGTTACTTGGTGACTTCTTAGCTTATAAATGGTAAGTAAAATTAGAACATTTCTATGGTTCTCAAATAATTTTCTAATATTAATTATGCTGAGATGGGATAGCATATAAAGATTAAAAAAATAAAGCTTTAAAAAATTCAAAATTGCAAAGATAAATACTAGTACAATTTTACAACACTACATTTTAGAGACTTTATTTAAAAACACATTTATGAGCTATTTATACAAAATGTACATTAAGACAGTAGTGAGGTTGTCCCAGAATCGGGCAGTATTTCATTCTGCTGTGCATAAGGTCATGATGAGTCTGTACCAACTCGATGGCACCTAACAACAACAACAACAACACTTTAAGAAATACTGATTATTAGAATTACAGGTAAGACTTTGTCTGTGAAATGATAATAAGTATTAAATTATAACAAAAAACAAAAAAACAGAATAGTTTTAATCAAACAGACTCAGTCTTTAGATTCATGAGTGAAACTAAACCCATTGCTGTCAGGTGACTTGTGACTCATAGTGGGTGACACTATGGGACAGAGTATCACTAACTGATTGTTTGTTTTTTTCTGGTGGAGTGACTTGACCCAGTAACCTTTTGGTTAGCAGTCAAACAACTACCCAATATGCGACCAGGATGCCTAAAATTCATGATTACAGGAGCTGTAATCTGGCCAGATTTTCAGATATTCTCTGATTCAGGATCCTTCATAATTATTTTTTATGGTAGTCACTAAATATCGAATTGGAAATTCATAGCAACCCCATGTAACAGAGTAGAACTGCCCCATAGCGTTTTTTAGAATGTAATCTATACAGGAGCAGATTACCAAATTTTTCTCCCATGGAGTTACTGGGTGAGTTCAAACTACCAACCTTTTGGTTAGCGGCTGAGTGCTTACCCTTGTGCTAGACCAAAGCCAAATAGTTCCCACGCATTCCCATTGAAAGAGCCACAATCATTATGTTGTTAGTGCTAATGGTGACATATTTTTATGCTGGCAAGACTGTTGTAAAGACAGCAGATTTTAAGGCCAGATTAGTTTTTTCCTGAAGATCACGCATGTAAACTAGAGTTGTATTTAGCTGTGTGTAACAGAAATTCACCAACAGTCATCTGTCAGTTTGTCGTACTGTGGTGGCTTGTGAGTTGCTGTGATTCTGAAAGCTATGCCACCAGTATTTAAATACCAGCAGGGTCACCCATGGTGGACAGGTTTCAGATGAGCTTCCAGACAAAAACAGACTAGGAAGAAAGAATGACAAACTATTTCCAAATATTAAGTCACTGAAAACCTTATGAATAGCAGAGAAACACTGTCAGATATAG